CGCGCCCTGGAAACAGTAAATCGTCAATTTGTATTCACTCGTAATTGCCATGTCTAAGTACCCTAACCGGTCAGACGTCAAATTCGATATACTTACTGATGTCGGTGCTATGGTTTTCAATATAAGGTCGAACCCCATGAAAATGGACACATAGTGATCGCATTAATTCTTTGACAGATGTAGTTATCGGTGCATCTCAGCGATCACAATCCTTAGATCTGGTTTTGGTTAGTAAGAAAGGACATTTACTGGAGGAATCTTTTTGAACGTGTGCTTTATGGGGATCGGAGCTTTCGACGCGTGGCGGACTCTGGGCCTGCGGTTGCCTCCTCACAGGCGTGCAAGGGGTACGGACGAATAAGTGTGTCACGTGAGCAATCACTTGGTAACCCCCAAGGCAGAATGCGCGCACGTCACTTAAGCTTGAAAGCTGTGATCTCCTGGTTCCTAGTGAAGCGTGTGTGCGGCCTATACGCGCTTGAGGCGCAACCGTTTCGTTGGAAATCAACTGCGTTTCAAAGAAGCATTAAAAATATTATGCAGTTATCTAGACTATTTCTTTCCGCATCATCTTGCAACAATCTTTATTTGCTTTGTATGGTGCCGTTAACTAATGTCAATCGTAGGGTTGCGTGAAAAGAGAGCCATGCACACGTATTCTCGAAAAGTCAAATACTTCCAATCGAACACTTTGCACTCCTTCCCAAATATCAGTTTTAGCCCTTTCCGCTAAGACTATCTAACCTGTTTGGTAAACCAATATCCTTCCCCTTTTTCCTAGTGGTTTCCTAAGCTCCGTATTGAATAGCCTATGCTTCGCCTAAACTTACATTTTAAAGTTGTGACGCAGTTGGAAAGCTTCTGAATAGGCAGAAAAGTTGGATGGCAAGTTTCCGAGTTCACGCATGAGGCACAAAACCCCCCCGGATGTTCAGCATTCAAATCGTAACCGGACGAAAATAACGCATGAGACAGAAAGTGAGATCAGTGGTGTTAAAGAGGTATCTATGACGAAGAAATGTCTGTTTCAGTGTCAGCATCAACTCCCTTAATGTTATAAGGAGTCTCTAGTCCAAAGCTGGAATTAAACTGTGGTCGTGGAGTAATCACAACTTCAGGATGTATGCGAAGCGTGATGTTTGTTATCTCTAATATTAAGTAGGTCACTTTAAGACGTCTGTTTGACATTTAGAAATACTTCTGCAAAGGTACTGACCGCCCTACAGCTTCACTCGTATCGGACCACTCTATAAAAATGGACTCTGCCGTGGCCGCACGAATCTTCACGAGTCTGCTCCTTATTCGTGGGCATATATGAAATGCGTGTTGACGCATCCAGCTGAACCTCAGAACGAGTTAGTTCCAGCTGCCTTTATTTCCCAAGCAGATTACGCAAGGGCTTTATTACGGAATGTAGAGTGGGTCTTATGAAGATTACTTTTTCAATCAAGGTCTCATCCTCCTTTAGATGGTACGCACATAATGACCTATGTTTGGCGCCTAGATAGATACCTACAATAGATATTAACAGGCGCCCGCATGCCCAATAGACTAAACTGGTATCCTCAAAAATCTGCTCTGAGACCTCTGTATAAGAAGCCAAAGGACGTGGTTCATGTATTCCGGACTCTTAAAATGCATCCAAGGTTCCGTCTTCCAGATTGATGGCAGACAGTTTGAATCTTTAAAGGCCATCTCCTTATAGTCCCTCTTGCCCTCTCATACTAACTTTTAATGCATTTCATTCTTTAGAAACGAACCCTTAACATGGATTCTCACGCGATGCTGAGGGTTTTCATTATCCTTATCCTATGTTTGCTCTACCCTTATTCAGAATAGTTATGGCCTGCACCAGGGCCTGTTAGTAAAGTTAACCTTTACGATGACCAGAAAGCGCACATTGCCACTGCGGGAAAACTGTTTGGACGGTACACTTAGAGAGTTTTGTAACTCATCTAAATAGGTGGGCGAATTCTATGACTCGTAAGAACAGATCAAACTATTAGCAATTAATCGTTCTAACTAACTTCAACGTTAAGTGATTAAGTACTTGGGCAATGGCCCAAACACGTGATCTAGTCAGAATGGCCGTTAAATTAATGCCCAGGCCACCAAAGAAGCTACTCCAACCACAGTAACTCGTTTGGATAAGAAAGTAAACGAGCGATCCAGCAGTAGTCGTTGCTACAACTAAGAAAAGTATAAGACGGGCAAAATAGAGCGGGTTTAGTGCGCACAATATACCCATCTAAAGCCTAACGAAGCCAAAGTTACTTTAAAGATGTCTTGAGCAGTTTGTTGGACAAAAGTTTTCAGAACGGACCTAACACATGCGTAAATATGTTAAAAATGCCTGATTTAAAATCTACCGGCCGCTGGTGCCTAAGCCAGCGAGAATTTGCATGTCGCAAGGGTACTTACTCTGGCAGTCACATCCCCAAAGCAGCGCTATCACCTCTGAATAGCCAGAGATTAACAAAAAATGTAAAGAGCAGGAAACAATCAGAGGTATATGTAAGTAGTCCTACCCCCTCTCTGTAATCAGAAGTGACTGAGCGCCCACGGCGACTTCTCAGTACCAGGCATTGGCAGAATCCCACCGATTTCCCAATGAAACTGTTTATTGGGACAATAGCTGGGTAATTATGACCGACAGAGAGCCTTCTTGTGAATGCGTATGCCGTATGCTGTGAGTACCACGGAAACATGGATAACAGACTTAGAATCAGCTTTTATCAGTTATTCCACTTTTAGAAAAGACCATCGGGTTGACCTTTGGAGTTTGCGGACTCCAATTTGCGTCTCACCGAACTCTGTTCCTCGAAAATGTCCCAATATATAGATATGCTGGGCTCTAAGACTTCAACAACCAACTGACTAATCCTCTTTGGACTTGTTTGCCGCATCCCACCGGCACGCACAAGCAGCCGTAAACGTGCAACTGCTTGGCGCCCTAACGTCTACAGCTAGCAAATCTTTAGTCTTGGGAACAAAATGTCCCGTACTTTGACAACTTACTCGTTGGTCGATACTGACGACCGCTTTGACCATAAATTACAAACGTTTTCTCATGGAAGCTGTGTGAACCAGATAGCAAATGTTCCTATTCGTTTCCTTAGTCATAATTACTGCCGACTATCTAGTAGGTAAAAGCCACCATGCTGTCATATCCGGTAGGTGTCAGTCATTTCGCGTGCACAAAAAGTTGTCGACGCGCCCACATTTGTGTTCTACGAAAGATGGCTTTTCGATTGCACTGACCAGCCGTCTTATGCTAAAGATCCAGCAGCTAGCTTTAGTGAAAAGTACACATTGTCATCAAAATCGTCGGGCAACCTTCGTACATACAGGGGGCGGGAAATACGATTTTCGTTCCGATTAGGCAATATCGGCTTTTCACATCCCGTTTTCCATCATTACGTGTTCTTGATTCTCGTCCGTTTTTTGTTTCTTCCCCCACTTTGAGTGTTACTCATCCTGTTGTGCCGTTTGTAGATTTTGCAGGTTTTACGTCCGTAAGTTATTTACTTCAGACTTCTGCAGAACATTCCAGTGCCTAGTTTTGGCCACAGTAAGCCACCTGGGAATTCCACGTTTGTCCTCCTGAATACCATTAATAGGACAACGTGAGGCTTCTAATTAACAGACCGGTTGAAGACACGTATTCTTTTTTGCCACTTAGGATCGCTGCGTTGACAGAGTTAGAGGGTATTATGTATTTTGCCAAATTAACGGACATAGCAAGTTAGAGACACTCTTGAAGGTACCTGGCAGTGGAAGAGTCGGTCTAATGGGGGAGTTCTCCACGGTTGTAAGTTAAAATGTGCACTCTAGAACGGTTGCGTCTAGAACAGTATCGTGGACTCGAATCACAAAATCGTTTGTATCCTAAAAAACACCTACATCTTCCTTTTGTTGCCGTAAAATAGGGGGCGTCAGGGTCGCTTATAGACTTCTACCTTGCGTTTTTTGGCTATGACCGTCTGACTCCATTTTGAAGTACTCAGTATCCTGTTTTTTTATTTTCCACTTTATTGGGCGCCTAGGGAGCCGCGCGGAGTCCAGAATAGGTAACCGGGCTGCGTAGTGTCCGCGCATCCCACATATGCGGATGTTGCGGCACATTAAGGCGCAAGCTTGCGCCGCGCCAACCACTTGTGCCCAATTCTAGCATCACATGGGTGACCTGCTCGAGCAGCGGACTTGTACATGGAAGGGAGAAGAAAGTGAGATCGATTCTGGGGACTCCTCACTGTAAAGAACTTGACGCACTTTGAAACTATGACGACGCGCTAAAATTTCGTAGCTTGGAATGCTGCCAACTGACGGGATAATTCAGTCCTACTGTCAGGACGAAGACTCAGACAGCAATGGCTCCTTCTTAATGTGGCCGCCTCTATGGCACTCCTTCTCATGTGTGATTCGAGCCGCCCCATTCTGTAAGAACCCGGTCAACCGTTCGCGGATTAGGTCGTGTGTAGCATGCATAGTCGGGCTGTTTTGCCTTGTCAGCCGCGGTCTCCGATCCGGTCTCCAGTCTTCTTATCTTGGTACCGAGCCCAGGTGGGTGAGGGTGGAGAGAGTGAGGCAGATGTTGCGCAAGTCCGCTTTCATCGTCCCTGCGCTCATCATGCTGTGAAGCACAGGGTGCCAGACAGCAGGCGGGCGATGTGTTTAATTAACTTTCTACTGCTTACTTGCACCAAGTCCACTTTAGGATTTTTTCGTAGCAGAGATTCTGCGCTGATTTTTATTCAGTACCTTCACAAAAGTTTCAGCAACCGCCGCTGATAGCAGCTGTTTCCATGTGTCACCTGACCAGCAGGTAGAGACAAGCCTTAGGAATGCCGAGGAAGTGGAGGACGCTGGAATACTATCTTCATCTTCCTCTCCTGAGGCTCATTTTTTATTTAACTTTTGTTAAAATTTTCAGCAATCAAGAGGAACGATGCTTCGAGTAACGGTGCAGATGTGAATGCCTGATTTCAATCGCCCTCGCCATGACACAGTCAGTTTTTGTTCAAGGTACACTCCACGCCTTTAAGTAACTTCATTATTTTGTTTCAGTTGGTCAATGCGGCAATCAGATTGGTTATCGGTTTTGGGATCTTGCACTCCGAGAGTACGCGGCGATGAACAAGGTGAGATCTCGATTTCCTCTGTCATTTCTTTCAGACCCGGGAGACAATGCAGTCGTTCTTCTCCCTTGATAGTAAAAAGAAGCTGTCCGCAAGGGTGCGCCACTTCTACTGACATCTACTTCCCTTATAGGCCGTGCTCGTAGACATGGAAGAGGGTGTGGTTCAGGAGCTGCTACGTGGCCAACTAGGCAGCCTCTTCGAATCTGCACACCTTATTACAGATGTGTCTGGTTCGGGAAATAACTGGTTACCTGATTACTTCTACTTTATCCCCTCTTCCAGGGCCGTCGGGCATTGCTTATACGGAGACAAGCATTCCGAGAAGATTCTGGATGCACTCAGAAGATCTGTGGAAGCTTGCAGTAGTCTTCAGTGCTTCTTCATCCTGCACTCGATGGGCGGTGGAACGGGCTCGGGCATAGGAAGCTTTATATCTCAGCTCCTGGCTGATGAGTACCCGAACGTATTCAGGCAAGTTTCTTGCGGTCTGTTTCAGTCGTTACTAAATAGCATGAAAGCCATATATCATTTTTTTCGCTTACCCCTCCTCCACTCCCAATCGAAGAATTGAAGTCTCAGATCGGCAAAATCGAGAGATCCGGTGAATGATTTGACAAAAAAGAAGAGCTCACCGGGACACATTTATTGAACTGCTTTGAAAAGCGTAGTCGGCCCACTATTGTCAAAGCGTTAAGTGCACTTAACTAAACAGAAATAGAAGTGGCATGTCGTGCTATTCGGTCTTGGGCGGATCGATTTTTTTTCTTTATTTGCTGTCTTTGGCTCTTGGTGGACGTTTGGCGGACTTGAGAGTCGCGTGCTTTATGACTCATCGCCTCGATGGAGAATGACTGAGCTTCCGTATGTGTTGTTCGGTCTACTGGCTCTTTTTCTCGCCCAGTCGCATGATTTCCTCACCAGGCCGTGTCTACGCTGTCTTCCTAAGTCCCATGTGTCCATCTTGTCCTTGTCCTTGTGTACGTAATGACGCAGGACGCAGGTGCGGGTAGGTCAAGATGCCTGTAGACGGAGTTGGCATTTGAACACGACACCTCTAAGTTTAATCGTTCTGTCCTGGAGTTGTCCCAAACTAAGAGGATCGCTTTCTGAAAATCAAAAGTATGGCCAGTCTCCCCAGTTTGTGTTGTAAGCCGAAAGTCTGGGTTTAGCCTCCTAGTGACCAACTGGTGCTCGTGTAGGCGGGTCTACAATTTTCTCCCAGTTTACCCAACGTGTCATGTTAACATAAGCCCCAGGCTAAATTCCACCTTACCTACTACTTTTCTATTACTCTTTTCAGTCCCAGTACGTCAATTGTAAGATGAATAAAGCCCTGTTATAGGGTATTCTCGTTCTGACTCTTACAGCCATATTCGTTCGTCCTCTCCATCTCGTGTGCATGCTACGGTCCTAACTACTACACAACGTAGCTGCAGTCCCCGTCATTGCAACTTTTTCATATACAACTGTCACGGTTACAGTAATTTTCAGCACCTCTTTAGCTTGCGTTATACAGTGACCAACCACTGCCTGTGGTCGATAGGCTATGTCTACTCAGATTTCGAGTTGTTGCTCCCTCGGCTGTCGTCTGTTCGCTTGGCGCCCGCTTTGAATATCCACTGGCTCTGAAGAGGTTATAAAAGTGTTGCTGGACCCTTTTGTTTGTTTGTTGGCGTTCCTCAGTGCTTGAACTTGTTGGAATAGAATGCGTACACAGCCGCTTTTATGTAATGCAGGGTGATTGCTGTTTAAGTGTACTATTTGCCTTCTGTTGGTGACTTTTCTTATTACTGCCCTTCGCAGTTTCTCGGTTGCACATTGGCGCATAGGCAGGCCGACGAAGGGGAGTTAGTCATTTGTTTCGACGACATCCATGGTGAATCGGATATTCGGGGAGGATAAGTTTCCCAATTCTTTGATGTGATCAATTTGAATTGTTTTGACAACGACGAAAGTTTCAATGGTAAAAAGGGGGGGGGGGGCACACAGATCGCGTTACGGAACCCACTCGTTCCGTTGTGCCTTGGGGCTCTCCCTCGAGCCCCCGCCAGCAGTCAAACAGCGGAGTGTAATATAGGCAGAATAAAATTACCGACAAAGACAAGTGTTTTTCTATTCTGCCTTTATTACGCTCCGCTGTGCGGTTGCCGGCGGGGCTCGAGGGAGAGCCCCATGGCACAATGGGGAGAGCGAGTTCCGTAACCCAATAGTTAAAGCGTTGGACTTCTAACGAACAGGTCCCACGTCCGAGCCTCGGGGTTGGGTTGATTACGGCTAACAAGCCAGAAATGGCCATTGCTGTCTCCCCTGTCTTTGTCGGTAATACTATTCTGACGAAGGTCTCGCCACCTTTGCTTCTGTTCGATTTTGTGCATTTAGCGCTTTGACAATGGTGAACCGACCAAGCTCTTCCAAAAATCAGCAGTCCAATAAATCCGTTCCAGTGAGCTCTTCCTCCCTCTCAAACATGAAGTCTGTCTGCCTTACGTCAGCTAGCGTTCTTGATAGTTACCATCTTCAAGACTAGAGATGATTGGCGCGTGTAAACAGGTTGTATTGTGAAGGCTTACGCGGCATCGTTCACACTCTCCCATCTTCTTTTCTATCTTTTCTCACTGGCAGCACAAAGTTGGGAAAACTGAAGATGCGATTGGGTGTTTCCTCTGAGCACACTGCGACATAATGGTTTCAGATCTATGAGTTTGGCAGGCAGTAAAGGTCTAGCAGCTGTTTCTGTCTGAAACTTTACGCCAATCGAGTTCCATAGAAAAGACTGCTCCTTCCTGAATGTCTCTTATGCTCAGTAACCTATGCGATCGCATTGCCTGGGGCCAGTGGAGTACTGGAGAGAATTTCCTAGCGAATACCCTGAAACGCAAATTTATCCACGCAAAGTAACTTGATGGAATTCAACAATGGGCGCTGCTCTCTGCCTTGGCTTCCCGTACTGGTCACTTCAATTTTTAAGAGTATTGAGGACGGACGTCCTTCTTCGCTGTCTCTCCTACATTACCAGCCCTCCCAAGCATGCCTAGACTACGTAAATATAATCGTCGATGATCTACTAGCTTCCCTTTCGTGTGACAACTTCGTTTATTCTGTCGGCGTACGTCTGTAACGCCATTAGTCCGAGGTATTTATTGTCCGTTTTATTGCCTTATCGTGTTCGATACGCTTTTTAGCGTTATAACCAAGAGACAACACGTCGCGGAATGCAAAAGTGGTTGTAGGGAATATTCGGCATTGGTTCTTGACATCTTTGCTAATCAAGATTACTACATTGTCCTCTTCCTATTCCTTCGACCTCCTACTTCAATCTGCTTCTTCGTCCTACGAGGGCTGATTATATTTAATTTGCCAAATTTGCCGACTGCGCTCATAAAGACCAAATGGTATGTGTTTGCTTTTGTTTCTAGACTTGTTACTGCCGTCTTCCCCTCCTTGGATGACGACGTAATCACCTCCCCCTACAACACTGTTCTCGCGTTGAATCATTTGACCGAGTTTGCCGACTGTGTCGTTTCTGTCGATAATCGAGCACTGAGTTCAATTGTTCGCAGGGCCCAAGCCGAACCAGTTCCCAGACATGTAAAAACTGCCGCTATGGGCAGTGTGATCACCAATGAAGGCTCTCTGGCGTCCATAGAGCGAGCCAAACCGTTCGATGAGATGAACAACATAGTTGCCAATATGTTACTCAATCTCACAAGGTTAGCGTCCCTATCTTCTTTTTAATCTTTAATGTCTCACGTCTGCATATTCCACATCCAGACTAAAGTTCGACCATTCTTCAGGCACACAGTTCTGTCTGCTTGTTAGCCTAACTGTCAAGAGTACCGTGAAGTAATTTCGTTTTTTAACGGCAGAGAAAGTGATTGTCGAAAAACGTTTTATTTTTAGTCAGTTACAGTGCGTGACCGATCTCATGAAATGTCGGCCAAAATTCTGGAATGCGTTTCCAATTAGGAAGGATTACTTAAGTAGGGTTGTTATACTGATTATCATTCAGCATAACCCTATAACATTTCGGACTCGCCAGGACGTCGGCTTTTAAATTGACTTCTTTTTGACCTCCTGCAGAAACCACCCTCGGTATAAAATGACTACTTAAGTAACATGTATTTTTCCTATTGATTTTCGATGGTCTTATAAATTCAAATGTATTTTACAGAAAACATGCACAAAAATATGCTTTCTTTTGCTCATTTGGTAGGAAATCACATGTTCCGCATAATTTATGTCCGAAGAAAGTGTATATTTAGGTTTTAATGAAGGTTCTAATTATGAGATTTTTAAGAACGCGCGATGTCCATGCATGCAAGACCACACATGTCCGTTTACTAGTGCTTCTTATGAAATGTACAACACAGTCCGGATCCATTGCAGAATTTCATGAACTCTATGTGATATCTTCTTAAAGACATAGAGGAATATATTATTTTCCTTACGCAGAAAGCATGCACCTTGTAGACTGAAATTGCGAAACGCTGATGCAATGGCAGATAAGGCTGAAAAGTATTCGGGAATTGAGAAACTTTTCAAAGTCTAAATACACACTTTCTTAGGACATAAAATATAAAGACGTCCTGGCGAGTCCGAAATGTTATAGGGTTATGCTGAATGATAATCAGTATAACAACCTTACTTAAGTACTCCTTCCTAATTGGAAACGCATTCCAGAATTTTGGCCGACATTTCATGAGATCGGTCATGCACCGTATATGATCGCCATCACTACCAGTCACCGCTGCTCATCTTGAAACCAGGTTTTTAATACCTTTATGAAAAACTGTTTCGATGCAGAGGATTCTTGGAGTCCAGACTCGGCCTGATTGGTACTTCGAAATGTTTTTGCGGCCAGGAGGTGCTGCAAAGATCTGAGAAAATGCTAGGCAGTTGGTGCACAATTAGCTGAATAAGATGCATGGGGCAAAATTGCCACCCCGCATCTCGTATCTTGTTCTGCGACTGTCGGGCGGAATGCGGTCTCTCGTTGTCATGCAGCGGAATGACACCTTTTCTGATTGAAGCGAATAGGCGAGTTCTAGGAAGCTGTTTAGACGAAGATACGATCGCTGGGACTAGAAGTTAATTGGTCTGACGTTTCGGATTCCCACCCGAACCCATCATCAGAAGCAGTCTCAGCGCTGGGTGCTTAACGCCAAGAGTTTGGTTAAAACGTCCTAATTGCTGTTACGGTTCGGCCTCGATCCAGTAGCTAAAAGTAAAGTATGCTTAGCATACTCCACCAAACACAACAAGACTTTCTTGGAATATGAGTCTGGTTTCCAGTTAGCATCTGGTGTCTAACCTGTGGAAAGACATTGGTGTTTGCACTCGTTGTTAACGTAATGAATCCACTTCTTATCTCTAGCGACAATTGGGTGATGAAATGGTTCCCTCTCCTACCTGCTTAACACAAAGTTACAGATCGTGGAGCGCTGAGCTTTGTTTTCCATCGAAAGTTTGCTCGGAACCCAACCACCTTGTGTGTTGGCCTTTTTCTATCTGTTGAAGGTCCTCCTAAGCAGTAGACCACGACGAATTTAATTTGTTGGCAATTCCTCGATGGTTTGACGAGGATCTGCCCCAGTGCTTGCGCGCCACCGATCTTTCCGAACGATGAGCATTGGAGAGGTCGAAATCACCTGACCGGAATCTTGGGAACCAACGCCAGCACTTGCGGCATCTAAATCATTCGGACTAATAGCGCAGATTGTTTTTGTACCTGTCGTTGCGTTGTTTCCCTTACAAAGTTCATACAGCATACAACGACGGACATGACTGCTTCCGTATTTCATGTCTCCCCTTCAGTTAGGCCCAATCTCAAAAACAAAATTTATGTCAAAATCTAAACAACAAGACCGAGCTGATGTAAAACGATGCAGAGTTCAAATGGAGCACTCAAATCAGGACTACGAGGAGGACATTACTGCTGTCGCCGCCGCCACGGCTGCTGCTGTTGTTAGCCATCGAACACGCCTTATGACTCTCCGCATACCGATATATCGGTTTTCCACAATCGATATTTTCTCTGGTCGGTTGTTCCGATATAGATTGTCTTCGCTTTCTCAAAACATGAACCGTAATGACTTAATGTCGGGTTTATGGCTAGCCGTACATCTTGGCCTTTACGGGCATTGTATGTGGCATGTAAAGTCAACATAAGGGGCACATATGCGGCCGGAATGGAGAAAGTGTGCCGAGTTGGATGATGGCCACCACCACCACCACCACCACCACCACCACCACCACCACCACCACCACCGCCGCCGCCGCCGCCGCCGCCACCACCACCACCACACATGTTGACATTTGGATCACGTTTACCCGCACAACTTACTGCAGCGCCTGGAATCCACTAAATCTGACAGTAAGCTGACTGCCCAAACAGGATTTCCTAATTAATACATATAGAATCCACCTGGCTCACGCGTCGTTCGGTAGGGCCTCGTAGTTCAGATGGTTAGAGCGTTAGCTGTACCAAAGCCTCCCCTTGCTGTCGGGGGTTCTAATCTCACCGAGTTTTTCACAGCTGGGTCAAAGCGAATCTGTAATTAGTCATCTTCTACGTTCGCATCACGTCATGATGCCCGCAGTTCGGAAGATCCAGGCTTTTGGTTCAGGTAGCAACTGCGCGTCCGGCTGTATACGTCAAATTCTCATGATTCGTTGTTGTTTTAAAACTTCCTATTGTAGTCTCTAGTATTCCTCCCTTTACTTTCACTCTAGTTCTGCCCGCTTTCCGGGAACAATGAACGTTGATTTGAATGAGATCAGCATGAACCTGGTGCCGTTCCCGAGGCTACATTACCTCATCGCCGCCCAAAGTCCACTCTGCTCCAGCCTTGCGCCTTTAGCACCTAGAAAGTAAGGGCAGTACTTGGTAGCTCCCACATTTTTAAATTCGTGTCAGAATTTACCGATCCTATCTGTCGTGATCTTCCTGCCTGAATTCCTGCGTTTTTCGCCCCTCCCCCCCCCACTCTGTTTGAGTTTTGTGGCTCCAGTTTAAGGCTCGCATGACTCTGTCGCTCGGCCTTTTTTACTCTGGCCCCTTTTTTATCGACTTTTGATCAACTTTCGTCGTTCGTGACTGACGAATACCCTTCATGTGCTTGGCTCTATGCGTCTCGTAGGCGATCCACGGCAAAACAGATGCCTATTTGGACTTGTGACGACATCCCTCAGGATTTATTCAGCCGGACTCAATATTGCAAACCCACCCCGGCACGAATGACAGTTCGCCACCGCAGCATGTTGGAGGCGACTCCAGAGCGAAGTTCAATCAATCAGTGTATTGGAGTAAATGAGAGAAGCTGTTCATAACCCCATTTAAACGATACAGGTTTGCAGTAAAAACAATTAAGTCGTAAACATCTTACAGGTAATTTTAGTGTGCGACTCCCATTAGACTAATAGTGGAAAAGGGGTATTAAAAAGGTGGATAATTTGCAGAATAACAGCGAACGACACGCGGGATCTGCACGCCGTTTGTTCGAAGGAGTGTCAAATGTTGAGTGAGCAAAACACGTTACTGAAACTAAGTTAGTAGTGTGTTGATAGCCATATCTGTCACACCAGGTGGGATTTGGCGAGCTGAGTGACCTTCAACAGGTAAGTATCCTGACCCAGCTGAAGCAGTTCACACATCATCTCCGCGGTGCGCGGGGCCACGGGTTCAGAGGGCCACCCGAGGTCAGTTATTACCACTTCCACTCATCTCTTCATTCGGCTACCTCAGCTTCGTTGACAGCTGGTGTCGGGTTTCGTCGGGATGACGTTCTGAATGAGTCTGCCCCAAGGCCGGTACAGCGCTTAGCCGGAGCATCCTACTCGGCGAGGAAAACGGACGAATTTGAGACCTTGGGTTCCTGAACGAAGACATGACCGTTCGTTGAGAGCGAGGTCAGAGAAATGAATTCAAATAATGAAACCCATGCACCATCGATCGAGCAATTCCAGGCAGTGCAAAGTCGTGCCTTACATCCGTAAGGAAGAGTGGTCTTAGACGGAGCTATTGCCCATTCCATAGGTTTCGCTGATGTCCGAGGGAGGATGTCAGTACCACCAGACCAACATAATTAGGATTTATAATGCACCAATCGAGACCCACTGTAGCACCAGAGGTGATTTCCCCGGGGTGCCATCACCAGTTGACCTTGGCTCTCACCCCCCGGCGTGGCCAATTCGTAAATTTCTATAAAAGCATATTTAATGTGCTTGCATGTCATTGAAGAGATCAGGCAACCACTTGCAGTAGGTGACTTAACTCAGAAAACACTTACTGAAATCCTAGAATACGTCTCCAATCGGAAGGAGTTACGTAGGTGCCAGAGCTTCGTGTATAGGTCTAGAGCTTTGGCATATACCGCGGTTGACCTATCTCATGAAATGTCAAGCGAAATTCCGGAATGCCTTTTCGATTAGAAACAAATACTTAGATGGGTTTGCACTGTTGATTTTTGTGCGCCATAATCCCCAGATATTTCAGTCATATCAGGGTGCCGACTTTTGAATGCGCGTCCTTCCGGGCCACGTACGAAATTCATATTCGCCAAAAGATGGCTGCTTAAGTAGTATGCATTATTTCTATTTATCTTTGTAAATCGAAGCATATTTTATAGGAAGCACACACGGGCTATTCTTTGTTGCATTCAAATAGACTTCTGGAAGAATGGGTATTCTCTGCTTGAGAGTTTCGTAATTATCGGATTTCCATAAGACCGTCGAATGTCTTTTCGAATAACGTCGTACCGCTCCGTTTATTAGTGCTTCTTGTGAAGTCTAAAACGCGTCTGTGTCAATCGCACAATGTTATGAGCTATGTGTGGTACCCTCTAAATAATATAGACAAATGTATAATATTCCTCAGAGAGTTTGCAGCTTGTGATTTGAGAGTCGAAAAACGTTTTTGAAACGGGAAGGTACCCTTTCTTTGAGAAGGACTTTGAAGAAGACGTAATCTGCTGTAAACCGACTGTAAGAAGGGCGTTGTTGTGTATGCGTTCTGTAAAGTAGGCTTGTAGTTATGAAGGCATAGAAGGTGAATAGAATGAATCCATACTACTTGGGCAAAAGTTTCTTATCGAAAGTGGTTTTGTTAAGTGGCCGAGGGAGCGCGCGTCCAAAAACCGGCATCTTAAAGTGATTAAAATTATGTTGGCATTATGTTGTGCGATGCATTATTTCGGTAATCCCTTGGTCAGATGTGGTTTCGTAGCCCCACTTGAAGTAAACAAACCCCAGCGACCTGTAATACGGAACCGGTGGTCATAGGGGTTTTTACAGATGGGTTGGGGGAACGCACAGGCGACGAAGTCAGGCTGTTATATGCAAAGGAAAAGCTATTGGGATTGCGCGGTTGTACTTTGAGTGGTTGAGGGATAGTTACCCTAACCCCTAGCCCCAACTTCAACAGTATTGTGTCCATCAATTGGTTCTACATAACCACATCTTGCCAATTCGTTTCAGCCGGGATTATATTGCAGAATTTCACTTAACGTCTCACCAGTTACTTCACATTCCGTAACTGGCTTTTGCCCCACATGTTTTCTAAACAGCCCGTTCCACCCCAGCACCGATGCAATCCTTACACTTCGTGTCCTCACCGTTAGGACACTTGTTCCTCCCTGGTACATTTTCCCCTAGGACACTGCTTACGCACTTCTTACTCGCTATGTCTCACGTAGTCGCACCTCCTGTTTCAGCATTGATCAGATTTTCAAGGACGCGTTCTCACGGGATTATCAGCTGTTGTCCAACCAACCTACGGAGCATACCTTCCTGGCAGCCTCACTGCTCTTGAGAGGCAGTGTCTTTGCGTCGGATATTCGTAGAAACATTGAAAGGTGAGAGTTAGCTGTGCATTCTATCGCTGTTTTGCCAGCGAGTGATTAAAAAAGGCGATATGCGGACGGGTTTCAGAGTGTTGAATGGTGATTGGTCGAACATTTTTTGCGAGCCGCGACAGCTTCTAGGACCATTCTTGAGTTTAAATTGTGGGAAATTATGTTTGAGCGACACTTCCAATCACTCAGCGACCCGGAAGACGTCAGTAATAAAGTCGGTCGAGTGAGAAATAAGTGGCCAAATAAGAAGTTATTGTGCAGTTACTCGCTTTGAAAGTTTCACGCGGCTCACCCAAAACTTGGTTAGTTATTTAGTATAGTTAGCTAGCTAGTCAGTTAGCTAGTATAGTAAGTAAGTTAGTTAATTAGTATAATTAGTTAGTGGATTGGCAGAGTTAGCTAGTTAGTTAGTGGATTAGATAGTCGGTTAGTTGGTTAGTTAGTACAGTCAGTTAGTTGGTGCTGTTTGTACAGTTAGTATATAGTCACTCGTTTCGAAAGTTTCACTCAGTTTGCCCAAGCTTCAGATTTTTCACGGTTTTTGGCTTCAAGTGGTCCGTCCAGAAACGCCATCCGGTTAGATATAGCGGTGAGGATGGGCCAATCATTTAACCTACATAACCGGTGAATTTACGACAAACGGTCGATATTGACGATGGGCAGGTGGAAATGCCATTATTATAAGGCAATCTGCTATCGCATTATCACTTTGGTCGCATTCCTCGGCTTCTCTAGCGTGGTATACTTTGCCGTTTATTTGTTTAAAATGATCAACGTTTTATTTGTCCGTCTACATTTTGGTTTTTTGGGTTGCGCGCTCTATTAGATTTCATCCGCAAGTGCGTTAGTTAATGAATCCCGTTTTGCCAACTACCAGCACGAATATGGCTTAAGTAGCTGGATCTGTCCACTTTTGTACCCCAGAAGTTTCGCCGATGTTACATTCGACCTGGAATCTACGCAACCTCCTGTTTCCGGGCAAGTTCTAGAGTGAGGTCGTGTTCTTGTTTTTAAAGGAACAACGAACGATAAAGAGGAATGGGTGACAACTAGCCGGTGACCATACCCGCCTCTCCTGTCTTTGCGTAATGTTGTCAGTTGATCTAAATAAGCAGAATGTTATTACCGGCAAACACAAGGGAGACTGAAATGGCCATTTCTGGCTTATTAGCCGTCGCAGTCTCACCCAACCCCGGGGTGTAGAACACCTGGGGCTCGAACCCGCGACCTGCTAGTTAGAAATCCAACACCCCTAACCACTGAGCCACGGGCTCGTTGTCCTCTAGCTTTCGATCAGGAATATACACTGGTAGAGGGACGCTCACCGATCGTTCCTACGGAACTCACCCGTTCTGTCGTGCCTTATTGGCTCTCGCTCGAGCCCAACCAGAAGCTGCACAGCGGCGCATGACATAAGCAGAATGTTATTACCGACAAAGACAAGGGAAACTAGAATGGCCGTTTCTGGCTTATTAGCCGTCATCAGCCAGTCCTACCTGAATAAGTGCTGTCAACCCCTCGAAGGTCTCTCAATATAAGCCTATTCATGCAATTTCCCTGGGTAGTGGTGATCCTCGCTGATAACTGGTTCGATTGTGACGAATTCGCCGACCTCGACGGGATTCGCAACCGGCCAGATTACTACCCACCTTAAACTACTGTGGCGCTGGTTGCACAAAAGCCATATCCTTACTGTCGCGGGCCCGGGTCTCGCCGAGGTCACTGAGTTTTTCATATTTGAGTCTAAGTTTATTCCAAGCTGTCCACAACACCTACTTACGACCTGCGGGGTCGCGCACACTGACAGCACGCCGTAACTGTTCAGTGAGGTTTCCTAAGACAACAAATACCCTATTAGTTTCGCTTTCGAAAAAATCAATATAGCTCATGCGCTTGGCCGTGAGCGCACCTCTTCAGAAGGGTCCAATCAGAGATTCAACACGGAGAAGAGAGGGGGGAGGGAACAAAGTCGCTGGGGGTGAGTACTGTGGGCAGGCCTACATTAGAAGGAGGAGGAGGATGCTAAGAATGGCTGTTTAGCTAACTGACGGTGTGTAAGATTTTTCTGTGGAAAATGTATCGTAGTCATCCTTGTCTGCAGACCCTGCCACGCGAGTTCAGATGCCCACCCAGCAGTCTCGAACACTAACTCTTTCTCTTTTGCTGTCTCACAGACTCCAGACTCGACTGCGTTTTGTTCCATGGAATCGCGAGGGCTGGAAAGTTGGACACTGCCAAGTGCCAGCCGTGGGTCAAAAGGTCAGTCTTTTGGCGCTTTCAAACAGCACTGCGATTCGGGAGTCCTTGGCTGAAGTGTTGGTTCGTTTCAAGAAATTAATGAGCAAAAAGGTAAGTGTTGGGAAGATGAATAAACATTTTTTTGCTAATTACCCTGTCGGACGAATCGGCATTCTGACTGAGCACTCGTCAGGGTGGACATTTCTATTCTGTTTGCCCTTATCGGCTTTTGATACTCCTGTCTCCGTAGTCTCTGTCGCTAACACTTCCCTATGCCGACAACGATTGGGTTAAGGACCCCAATTAGCTATTGGTAAACTGGCTCGTGTGCTGATGTATGTACTTGCGAAATCTACTTAAGTACTGACGACTGGTAGTTGTACCCAATAGCGAGGAAACAAAAAAGGCGATCTGCTGAGTGTGAATTGAGGGATAGCACACATGTCTGCCAGGGGATAGGCTCAGCTATTTGATGGTTATGCACTCTCTCAAGACGGAACGCCACGGAATATCCAGCTGGATACCCTATCTGCATAAATTCATTATTTTACTCGGAATTATCGTTTTTCGCCACCGACCGCCTTCTGCGTATTCAGTCAGCTTATTATCCAGCGTACTGCCCCACACGTAACCCCCCCCCCCATTACAACCATTGCCATATGACACGACCTACAACCCACCGACGGTTAATTGGGGTTCCTAACCCTACCGTTGCCCCTATGCCATATCTTATAGTGGCTCTTTCGATTCCTACAGTCTTCTCTTTGCTGGCGGAAGGAAGAGCTGATATTTAAGGCGAGAGAGAGGAATACCCTAAATTCGCGTTCAATTTCCATGTTCTACCGAACGATCGCTTTCGGTCTGTCAATTTTTAAGACTTATCCACCAGTCTTCACGACTCACTGCTTTTACTGAACTCTGACATATTCACGGTTGATTTTTTTCGTTATCTGTTTGGCGAACTGTTTATACCTTTAATGCTCACTTACAGGCCCACCTTCATCATTATCTGCGTGTCGAGGGCTTTGAGGAGGCTCAGTTTGAGAGGAGCGCGTGCAACCTTTCTGATCTCATTGATGAGTATGCCTTCTTCGAGAACCGTAATTCCGAAATGCCCCTTCCTGAACTGCCGCGACTTCGAATTGTTGACTGAGGGGTACATTTTGCGCTGCCTTTCCATAGTAATATTGAAAACTGACAATTATGGCACATTCGAGCATGTACATAGCTGTATATACGTACAGTCTTATCACTCTTTTGATTAATATTCGCATGTCGAACTTTTTGACAAACTTGACGCTTCCTTTTTCTCATTCATGGACATTTGGATTCGGTTCGGGAACAAGAATGACTTAACAACACTGGGACCTTCGGCCAGTGCACCGCCACTCACGCGCACGCGAATAGGGAGTCAAAGGTGCACACTACCTATGTTTTTCTTTGTGGGGGAGGGCGTTATGAAACACCCTGGTCTACATGTGGCATAAGAATCTGTTCGAAATTACTTTTTGGACATATGGATGATATTATGCATTAGGCCCAGCTAACCTTGGCGAATTCTACACCTTAGGTGGGGGCCAGGGTTTCAGAGTCTTTGATATTTGCGAGGCAAGACAAACTCAAGTATCTTGATCTGTGGATTCACACTTGTGTTTTGGCCTCGACTGCTGGCAACGGCACGAATCGCTCGGTCACAGCTGGGGATGAATACCACACTGACGTCCTAGACCTGTCAGCCAATCGCGTCTGCCCATAGACATCTTTTCAACGCTGACATGATTACTTGTTCTCCTGTTTGTCCACTAGGGTCCGCCTCGCCCTCTCCGGAGCAGTGTGCCTTGGCTTTTTAAAAGACATAAATAACTTAAACATGCTGACACGGCGACAGACGTATGACGGATGGTTGCGATTTATATTTTTATGTAGAGGCCAATTTAACCCAATGATTTGCATTCAACCTAGTTGGAATGGGATGTACGAGACGGGATGCATAGGGTGAATATGTCCTCTCAGCTCCAGTAACTTTCGGTACCGTATAACCTAGATGTGATACCTGCAATCCAATTATCTTGGTCTCTTTGGGTTGCTAAACACCTCCCGGCATGGCTGGGAAAAGGCCAAACTAGGAGCATAAGCAGTGCCATTCTCGCGCATGCTGTTGATTCCGGACATCCTGTGGACCCAAGCGAAGCTTTTCGTGTGATGTATATTGGGCCAGCTCCTGTTGGCAACAACAGAAGTGGCTGCCATCAGGTTACGCAAATTAATCTTGTGCGCACCTAAGAACCGCATTCAGGCTCCGCACCTACAATGTTCGAAGGTCGACTAACGCTGCAACTCTTCGCGCACTTCCGCTCTAACTCCGGCTCTGTCACTGCTATTGCCTCCCACTCCCCCACATTCCCACACCCCGCCTCTGTTTGAAGACGAACTTTAATCAGTTTCTATTATCGCTGATATCATAGCTCCATCCTCGCACACATGGTTGATTCTAGGGATCATGTGGATTCCAACGAAGCCTTCCGTGTGATTTAAAAGTTCCCACCGAACTACCCTAAGCGACTGGGTCAGCGCCTACTAGCAACAGCACAAGTGACTGCCATCCGGCCACGGAGGCCGGTCCTGCGTGCGGAGGAGAACCTCGCACGCTCCGCATCTACCTTGGGCAAGGTATGCATGTTTCCGCGTCCCCTCCCCCCGCGTAACTCGGTTCTAGCTAACCCTCACTGTCACTTACTGCCTCCTCTCCCCTCCTCTATTCACATACCTCGTTTGTATTAAAAGACGGACCGTAATCGATTGCTCTTATAGCTCACATGTTTCAGTTTGTACCTTGTCCCCATATAAACGCACAGGCCCGACGAGAATTTATCGAAAGCACGCGTATGTTCGCCAAATGCTCTTCTGAATTTCTCCATGGTAATTTTCGCTACTTTATCACTAATATGTTTTTGCCTCTAATCCGTTCCCACAGAGAATTTGTCGAAAGCTACGTATGCTGGCCACCTCGTCTGCTATGGGAATTCGCGCAATTCTATGATCTGTTTTCAACCTCCTGGTGCGAAAATTTAGAAGCCACCTAACCTAGAATGTGTAGATTTGGTGGGAACGGGTGTTTTTGGCATAGACTTTTAACTCTGCAACACTCGAGTTCGGGGTTTGTGTGCATATTTTGCGGTTTTGACCAATGGGATTCTGATTCGAACTTGGCCAGTGTTATGCAAAATGGCACATCTCCTGTTCTGAGTAAAATCTAAAAAGTAGGCCAGCATTGTGTAACAAAGTTGCCAGGACATGCGAAGATCACTTTTCTGCCGCAGTCGCCTTTGGAGTTCATGACGACAGTGGCCTTACTGCAGTCCGGCGTTTACCCCGGGGACGTGCACATTGCAACCTCCCTCACCTTCGACAAGTTTCCAATAATCATAAGATGTGCTCGTTAACCTGCGCACTAACTGTGGTAGATATGCGGTGGAGCATGGAGTAGTTTCTAATCTCACCATGAAGCAGTTCTGCCCTTCCCTCATCCCTGTGTGTGAATTAGGGCCATGGACGCCTTCTGTTGCTAGATTTTCAATAGCCAAACACCTGTCTCCTCACAGGCAGCTAACCACTCGATTAGCAACAGGGCTCGGGAAACCACTGTGCTCGGGGGGGTGAACACTGTTCGTGGGTTGCTTTGTACATTCCCCAAAACTGTTAATGGAAGACTGGCTACTATTTCCAATCTGACGTTCATCTCTGAGTAAGTAAGCATCTCACAGCGCCGAGCACGATTCAGAATGAGCAAGGTCCCAGTCAAAAGATGCATAAATACAGTTTTGCTAAGGAAACTGTTAATCTACACGAATTCTTACCTGCTCTGTAGTCTGCCTTTATGACCAGTGAATGAGTTTCTCTGATTACCTGCAATTTCCAATTGTCCGTGTTTTACAACAGAATCCATAGAAAGCAGACGATTGCTCTGCAACTGTGGAGGCCGTGGCCACTTCGTTAGTACCAGTTACATTGGGGTCGTTAGGTTTTGGTCAGGTTTAACATTGTGCGGACGGAATGCTGTCTGTTTAACCTCTATAAACTTTTTGGTGCATGGTAGGTTCGCCATCTTACTCGACGAGGACTCTAGCCGCCTGAACAATGCTTTCATCGGGTGTCTACTTATTTGATTATTTGAAGAGGTTAACTAACAGACCTCGACGGCTTACGCCAGCCTTGAAGAATGAAGTCAATAAAAAACGACGGCTGTGGAAAAAATCGCTTTCTGACAGGAGCACCACATCTATATGCGCGTACAAAATTCAAAGAAATCGAGTCAAGGGTCTTATCCTCAAAACTAGAAAGGAATTCGAACGGGATCTGCTTAACCGTGCCGCGGAGAACCCTAAATTATTCTACGGTTACATCAGGCAGTGCACGCGGAACAAGGACCCAATACCCCTGCTAAGGACTGCTGAAGGCCAACATCTCACTGACGACAGGGCGAAAGCTGATCACCTTTCGGAATTTTTCGGTCTGTTTTTAGTAGCGAAACAGGATTCAACCCTTCGGCCCCTCAATCCTTCGAAGACACCCCAATTATAGAGACCGTCCAGTTCACTGAGGGTATGGTTCTGACGGAGTTGCTGAGGCTAAAAGAATCCAAATCACCAGGTCCCGATGAGATTCCGACGAAGATTTTGAAGGAACTCGCCGGTGAGTAGTCTAAGCCACTCTCCATGCTTTTCCATACATCCTTCGAGACCGGATATCTGCCACCCGACTGGAAGTCGGCGTGGATTACGCCGCTGTACAAGGGCGGAAGTCGGGTCTCTGCGAACAATTACAGACTGGTCAGCCTCACCTCCATTTGCTGTAAGATTATGGAGAAGATAATAAAGCAACAACTAATGCAGTTCCTTGAACAAAACCATTTGCTTTCCGATTCTCAGCATGGATTCCGAACAGGCAGATCCTGTGTGACAAACCTGCTCTACTGTCTGGAACACTGGACTAGGGCTGTTGATAGAGGAGATATGGTGCATGCCATCTATATCGACTTTAAAAAGGCCTTCGATAGTGTGCCTTACCACCGCCTTCTATACAAACTTAGCCGTGCAGGAGTGCGAGGTAAGCTTCTGATGTGGATTCGGAGCTTTTTAATCGGCCGCTCTCAAGCCGTCCACGTCGGTGACCAACAATCTGCCGAGGTTTCCGTTAAGGGTGGTGTTCGCCAAGGCTCCCCTGCCAGCACATGGCCCCTTCATAGGCGGGGCTGGAAGGGGCTGGGTGGGGCCAGAGCCCCGCCTGCCAGCACATGGCTCCTTCATAGGCGGGGCTGGAGGGGGCTGGGCGGGGCCAGAGCCCCCTCTGGATTGAAGCCTTTTGAAGCGTATTTGCATCGAAAGATATGTTCCAAAAGCACCACTTATTGTACCTTCTTTGGAATTTAAAGGAGCTAATTTATCGAAATTGGCTTATAAACCATGGAGAAAGCATCCGCTTACGCCCACTGAATGTAGCTGCGGATGAGCACAATATATTGAGGTTTTGTTTAAGTCCCTCATTGCTTAAACTCTTATTTGTCCACCGGTTTACAGTCTGTGTGTGTTATTAATTCGTATATTTGACAATGGGGACGATATTTTAAAGTGGTGCCAAAAGTGGGCTGGGATGTGGCGTCCCCTGCGCATTTTTTTCGCTGGCGGGGCTAGGCGGGGCTATCGCGTTGCATGCCCCGCCACAGCCCCCTCCACAGCCCCGCCTAGCCCCCTCATAGCCCCCTCTAGCCCCGCCATTATTGAGGGGGGCAGGCGGGGCTAGGCGGGGCTGGTGCTGGCAGGGTCTGTTCTTGGCCCTACACTGTTCCTCGTATACGTCAATGACTGCGCAAACGAACTGAATTGCGATGTCGCTATGTTTGCCGATGACATAAAGATCTGGAGTACCATACGAAGCGAATTTGACGAGGCGCGACTGCAGACAAATCTGGACCACCTCGAGCAATGGTCGAAAGTCTGGCTTCTACCGTTCAACGTGAACAAGTGTAATTTCCTACGCGTCGGCAGAACCAGTTCTCCTAACCACACGGTCTACCGTCTGACTGGCAAACCACTGCAAGAAGTCGACGCCCAGAAGGACTTGGGTGTATGGATCACAACCTCGCTTAAGCCTTCG